GGTTTGCAGATGGCTGCCCTCTTGTATCCTCACAGGGCAGAGGGAGAAAGATCTTGTGTCTCTTTTTCTTCTTCTAAGAACATGAATGCCATCATTAGGGCCCTACTCTCATGACCTAATCTAACCCTAATTACCTACCAAAGGTTCCATCTTCAAATACTATCACACTGAGGATCAGGGCTTCAACATATGAAATTTAGGGGACAGACACTCCATCTATAGACCATTCTATCTGCTATGTCATGTTTTCTTCCAAGTTTGCCAGTAAAGGATGAGGGATGCACTGGTGGTCTGTTAGGGAATCAGTGTCAAGAGAATGTTTTTTGTTTTTGTTTTTTCTAGGATGGTAGGGACTTAATCATACTTTTAGGCTTATGAGAAGGACCCAAGAGGAAAGAGAGGGGATAAGTGATAAAGCAGTGTTCCTGAAGAGGTAGGGAGTAGTAGAACATGCCTGTGTCTCTATAAAAATAAGCAATTCCATGTATTAACATGTATTTATTCTATTTGCTCTTCCCTGGGGTCTTCCTCATGACATCCTTATTAACCTTCCCTGTCTTAATTGAATTTTTAAAAGTAGGATACTTTAGATAATCTTCAAGACAAAATTTGGTCTTACATGTAAACTTTTATCTCTATAGCTTTTTCTATAAAACCTACCACCATAGAACTGGAAAAAACTTTCTGAGTTGTTGCATGGTCTGTCTCCCTACCTCCAAGCCAAACTTGCCACAAATATTTCTGACTTTAAAAGGCAGCTACCAGGTATATCATTGAGAATTAGTTAAACTGCATTTAAGTTTATAGAGTACAAACTTTGCCAAGATGCAGCTGGCTTGGTCCATGCATAGAAATACCATCTTTTTTTTTTTAAGATTTTTTTTTTATCGGGGAATTGGGGGGATGGGAACAGCGCTGGGGAATTAGGGGGAAGGGAACAGACAAGTTGCTGTCGTTTCGTTCCTCAGTCTAGTTGTGGAGGACGTTGCTTCACTGGCCCAAGTTGGCACCATCATTGTGCTCTTCCCGGGCGAGGCAGATCAGCGCCGGCTTCTGGACGGCCGCTCATGCTGGCTGCTGGCCGCTCATGCTGGCTGCTGGCCACACACGGTAGCCCACGGCAACCCACTGCCACAGGGGCTGCAGCCTACGCTGTCGCCGGCGACTCACGGCAGCCCAGCTCCAGGTTGAGCTGTTGTTCAGCATCTTAGCTGTGGAGGGCAGTGTCACTGGCCCTCATATGTGGGATCCGAACCGGGGCCCTCTGGCATCCCAAGCCAGTTCTTAACCATCGCGCCACTCGGCCGGCCCCTAGAAATACCATCTTAATCAACTATTGGACCTGAAGAAGTTAAATTCTTGGCAAAAAATTGCCCCTTAAGTTGTCTAAACTAGAGCAAATAGTTTGGGGGCTCTTTTCCCCCTATTCATTCATTTTGATTTGACATCCTGATAAGGACTCCACTCAGGAGGTATTCAGAAACAGGGCAATTTTTCACCCCTGAAGAGGGTTGAAGGATTCGTTGTTTAGACCTGGGCCTCTTCCAGACAATATTTAGGAACTATTGACAATGGGGTGGGGATTTTCCTCCTTCTGTTGATTTTTAGGTATCTCTGGAGAAGTAAAAATTATGTCTGTGGACACTTTTATTTATTGGCTCCAGCTTTTATGCTTTTTCCTGGGAACATTTTTGCAACAGTAGCATTTGTCAGCTTTCCGCAGGATTCTGTGCAAACACTTGGAAGATCTTTCCCAAAGGGGAGCAAGGCCATTTTTACAACCTTGGGGAAATCTCCTTACATGTTTTTGCAGTCCAGTTACATGGTTGTCCATGGTTTTCCTCAGTAGTCATTTCTATTTGTGAGCCATGAGCAGTTTCAGGATGCAGGAGCACTTGGAGCAGTTTCATGGCCACATCCATTCCCTGCATGGAAAAGCTCTCTAAGAGAACGAACAACCAAATCTCCTATCTCCTTCAGAGACAGAAGAAATCCTGCTTGTGACTCATGTGGTCTCAGGCTAAGTGCATCCAGGCAGGATAATCACCCCCCACCTCCCCTTTGTGTTGGAGCACAGGGAAAGCAAAGTTCATCTGTATTTTCTCCCTAAGCATGTGTATGCTTGTTCAGCCTGAAGGCTGGGCTGTTTTCTGCATCTGGATGTGATAGCTGAGAGTATGAGAGGTGCCCTACAGCAGAAGATATCCTTATGCAGCCTCTGGCCACCTCCATCTCCACACAGACCTTGCATCTTGCTTTACAGGGAAGATTGAGCCAAGAGTCATGAGTTCTAGCAAGGTCCTCCCTAATCCTTCAATCCCATCTCCATCTATGCCTGCTTTCCCCTTCATCACTCTTTTGTCAGCGGAAGGGCAAATCTTTATGCAATGCAAAACTAAATCTTTCTCTTAAAATCTGGATCCTGCCCTCTTATGCCTCCTCACAACCTTGCTTCATCAATCATCCCCTCTCTCCTATATTTTCAAATGCCTGTATTCTTAAAATGTAAAAATACAAGAGTAAACAGCTTAACTTTGTGCTGAGTGTTCTATGTCTCTTTCCATTTACAGTCAATTCCCAAGAATCATCTACACGCAATATCTCACCTCCTGTTGACTCTTCAATTCAGCACAATGAGGTTGCGGCCTCCATCTTGTTCTGAAACTCCTCCGAGGCAAAGATCTTCTCATTATCAAATCCAACATTCCTTTTGGCCTAACCTTCTTGGCATTTCTGTAACAACCAATACTTCTAACCACTCTAGTCTCCTTGAAACACTCTTGGTTTCAGTGTAATCATTTTCTCCCATCCACACTGCTGACTGAAAATTTGGCGTCACTTGTGCTCTTCTTTCCTTGATGGCTTTTAAATGTGTTTTTTCTTGAGATTCTACCTTTGCTCTTTATATTTTCTCAAGTTTGTGCTGCGCCCCACCCCAGATGTTGCCATGAAACCCGCTATTTGAACTATTACACATACACTGATGACACCGAAGTCCATCTTCAGTTCAGATCTCTCTTCTGAGCTCCTACTGTTTAGATGTTTCAAAGTTTCCTGAAACTCAAAATATTCAAAACGTATTTTCTTATTTCCTAAGCTGGCTCCACCCCCTGTGGTCCCTCACTCAGCCTCCCAAACTAGACACTCAAGGGCAGTTGCCAGCTGCCTTTACTCACCAGTTCTGCATCTTAATGCACTTAAAGCACTGGCAAATTTAGCTCCTTTGTAGTTTCATATGTGGCCCCGACCATTACCAATTTAATATCTCAGATTGTTGTGAAAAATAAGTGACTTACCACAACATTAATGTGCCTAGCACCTGATAAAAATCTTAATTGAATCTAAAACCAAGAAAGCAGCATTTCCAGTTGTTTATATTATTTAGCGTGTACAGACCATTGGGAATAAGCATTTCCTCTTTTAAGACATTAAAATCTATGTGATTCATATACTACACTGAAATAGTGAGTCACTAAATACAGTCTGCTGGCTTGAAAGATTTAGGCCACTGGGAGGCTCCAAAAATCAGAGGATTGTTCCCACTTTGGAATTCTCAAGTGACTCCTGACGTGACTTAAGTTTCCAATGGAAATAATTGAAGCAAGCACAGGAAATGTATGAGGGATTTTTGTGTTTTTTGTTTTTTTGAAGAGCTTCCACTGCCCTCATAGAAAATGTCTTCTCCCTAGAGAATCTCTCTTTCTGGGACTTGTGTGCTGGGGGGATGCAAACTATAATGCAGTTTTTTCATTTTCTCCCTCCTATAACCCTTTTTTCCTCTGTGAGTATGAGAGCTACTGCAAATCCAAATTTTATTTCATTGAGCAGGCAACCATATGAAAGATATAATAATAAACAGTTTATTCTCTTCGGTAGTCTCCGATATGTTGCAAATTATCTATTACATATTTATCATACAATTAACTTTGTTGCATTGGCATAACAGAAACCCAACCTACTCTCTTAAAGAATACAGTAAATTTATTGGTTCATGTAAAAGGCAGGATTTCTTCTCTTCGATCCAGTGATCTTTGTCCTCCTCACTATGTTAGCAGCAGATTGTGGTCTGGGGAATGCCATGTCCTGATTGGCTGGCAAGAGGGTGGTTGTAAACTGGGAATGAGACTCTGTGTCCAGGCGATAGGATGGAGCAGGGGATGACTTCCTCTGAAGTGGATAGGTTGCTTAATAAAAAAAATGGTGGGCACCCAAACGGGAAATTGCCATTGTATCGAAATGAGGCCAAAAGATACTGGTAGCCAACAAATGTCTATTACATGAAGCATGATTAAAATAAAGGATATGGAAGAGGGAATAAAAGAGGAATTAAAGGAGTTGCGAGAAGGTCCTTGGTGCTTCGTAAACAGGGAGAAGGAGCTTTCCACTTATTCATAATAGTCCATTTCAACTGCTAAAAAGATCCAGGTTTCTAATAACTAAGAGATGAACTGGAGAGATTTGAGAAGACAATAAATAAGTGTATGGGCTGCTGAGGGAAGTATTCCCGATTTCTGGCAACTTTAAATAGGTAACAGGCAGCCCTCCTCAGTAAACAGCTTGAGCAACAATCTGGTGATGGCAACTGAAAGCACTAAACTATCTCTCTGCTCCAAACCTTTCTTCCCCTTTGGCTTCTCCAAGATAATAAAAATCTCTTCGTCGATCAAGTTTCCAGATTCTATTCCTGATCTTATGTGGAACTGGTTTGAAGGTCCTTCCATTGATGCTACAGCCGCCCCAGTGACCCTACTTGGTCCTTAATACCTACGTCAGTGTCCTTTTAAAGAAACAGTGGGGTAGGTGGGGAACAAACAATTTCCCCATAGCCTCTTAAAGTCCAAAAATGTGGAATTTCAGTGGTTATTGATGTTGTTAAAACTCATTTATATAATTTTAGATATTTATCATATCCTATCCACTCATTTTCCAGAGAGAGAGAGAGAGAGAGAGAGAGAGAGAGAGAGAGAGAGAGAGAGGGAGAGGGAGAGGCTGAGATTATACACCTTAGATAGATATTCTGTCTTACCCAGGATCAGTCACTAGTCAGCGTCAGCTGAAGCCACTATAAAAAGAACTAGGCCTGCATCTTGAGTCTGCTGAGTCCTAGTTGAGGCCTATCACTACCGTGTCACTTACACCCATTTTAACTGATGGTGCCACACTAACTGTAACTTTTCATTTGAGTTCTCTGCAGAATCCAGTAGATTCTGGACTGCCATAGACTGCCATATCAGTTGCCTTTGTATGCTGATGGTCTGGTGAAGAGTATTGTTTATTTCATCCAGTACATTCTGACTTTTAAATATGTTCTGGTCATGGACAAAATATGCTTTGTAACATTTTTAAAGGATAAAAATTCTAACTGAATAAGCTTTGAGGTAAGAAAGTATTCTCAAAGAACATTATTTACCTCTCATTTTAGAGGTTTTCTGACCTCACTGTCAGCAATATTTCATGAGAAAAGGAAAAAAAAATTGGTGAATGCCAGCTATCTAAAAGTTAAATAAATTAAATGAATTAAAATTAAATGCTATTTTTAAATGTTTCAGAACTGGCATCCAAATAAGTATCTTGCCTTGCTGATTACAAATCAAGAAGAGCTTCAGAAGGCTGAAGTAGTTTGCCAAGCCAATATATGAGAAAAATCACATCCGTAGTTTTTCAAATATATGGAAAATTGCCACAAATAGAGCTGTTTCTATAGAGAGTGCAAGGTACAGCATCTAGAAACTACATATAGTGAACTCTATGTTTTATCATTTCATCCACTTTCCCATTGAGAAGAGGTAAATACATCACCTATATAGGTGACATTGTTTTTTTTTCTGCTATGATAAATAAATGAAATGAATACACCTCTTAGGCTGGACTATGTAGTATGTGCAATTCATGCTTACTATCTTATAAGGAGTTATTTGTAATTGAAATCTTGACACGAGATTGAAAATGTGTGATTTTTAAGCAAAAGGAAAAAAAACAGCTTTATATCCTAGTGCCCTGCACTTTAAATTTCTGGTAGATTTTATAAGCCTTTTAAGCCCATGCTGTTAAGCATTCAAAATTTCAATGGCTATGTATGTTTAGCTCGATTAGCCAGCCTGTGGCATTTTGTATGTTATTCTTCATTTTTTCCGTCTGTATTTTTTCTCATCTAGCTTTTTCAGAAATGTTATTCCTATTTCTGTCACACTGTCGCCTTTTAGTCTGTCTTGCAAGAATGTAACATCAGCAGCCAAATGAACCTAGGAAAGAAGAAAAACAAAACAAAACAGGTCTGCATCATTCAGGGTGAACAACTCGCTACATTTTTCTGCCTCTTTTTTCAGCTTTATTTACCCCTTAAGAAGCTGACGTTCCTTATGGAATGATGAAAAAGAGCCTGCTCTATGGGTGAAGGGCCTTTTATTGTGTGTCCTCCAGATGGTCTGGCTACGTGTCAGCTCTGTGATGTGAGTCTGCAAAGAAAAGGGCGGTCCAGACCAAGCCCAACTTGGATGACTCAGTGGCAAGCCCAGAGAGGAGGGCCCATGCCAAGTTTTGCTCACAAGGCTGAACTATGAATCCATCTCAAGAAGAATACAAATTCTCAACTCAAAGATAGCTTTGACCCAATGTGCCTCGCAAGCAGAACTTCCGAGGATAAATGAATTCATAAACAATTCCTCTCCAACTGACTTGCCGTAAGTCATTCTGTCATTAGCTGAATAGCATCATCACTTGTCCTAACAACATTTAGCAATCACTTATGGCTTTGAGAGTTTTGAAGAAACATCAACTAAATAAATTATGAATATAAAATTAAAGATTAAAATTATAAACATGAATATTTGATACCCAGGCCTTCTTTTCCTCTGTAAAGCATAAACCATTTCCCAGACATTGAAGTAAGCCCTTAGGGTTTACGTCTCGATTCATTTAAATGTATTCATGTAAGAACAGCGTGCTATTGCTGACCTATCCACAACAGAACACTGTTCAGCTATTTTAAGTCATCAGGGTGAACAAGATAAATAAATGAAAACACCTAATAAAAGCAAATAATAAGTGGAAAACCCTGGGTCTAGTAGGTAATTAATTAATATTTATTGAATTTTAACCAACTCACTCCCCTCTCACATTAAGAATTTTTTGACCACCCAGCCTGGATTTATTAAACCATAGGCCTTAGTGTGCTAAGTTATCTGACTCCTACAGGGTACAAAAACCATGCCTTTGTGATGCCCACCACCCTCATTTTTTCCTATGAGATCTTCTTTGTCTTTGTTAAAATTTAACATAAAATCAACTAAAATAACAAGGAGACTACATTGAAGCTATTTGGATATTCGGGGCCACATGAAGCCTGATACCTATTTGTCATTCAGCATATATAATCAACTGTTATCCATGAAAGATGGAGACTTCTTTATCCTATTTTTGACTTCGTTTTATGGTTCATCCCATAAACTCCCGGAACTCTTTCCTTCCCCTTTCTTGATTTCATGGCCACTGGTTGCAGAGCAAGCCAAAAAAATAAAAAAAATAAAAAATGGTGGGGTTGAGCATGGACAATCTGTGTGAATAAACATTATTTCTATTGTTTTCCTCATTTGGATTACCTGAGACTATATCCTTCCTCTAACTATCACAAATAATTGAAAATTATATGCCTGCCTCCTTATTGGGTAGGTCAACACATGTCTAGCCTTTGGCTATTGTCTGGTCCCACTATTCTAAATAGCTAAGCTTCTGCAAAAACGAGACTCTGTTGATGATTACCTCTGCCTAAGCTGCCATTGGCTCCTCAGCCTTTGACGGATTGTCTTCTTCCTTCACTTTCCCAAAACAGCTTTTACCAAGTTCCTTCCTAACCTTTTGGTCCATAAATGTTGTGACTATTTTTCAGGTCTTGCTTTGCTTAGCTTCTGCTGTACTTCATCTTGTCAATCACTCCCTTTTCTTGAAATACTCTCCTCCCTTGTTTCTATGAGTCCATTCTTTCCTGGTGGTATTCGTGCCTCTGGTTGCTCCTTGTAGGTATCCTTTACAGCTTTTATATTCTCTGTTTAACTTACTCATTATGTTTTGTTGCTTCCTAGGGTTTCTTCTTACTCTACACCCTCTCTAGACCTTCTTTCAGAGTTCCAATGCCTCTTCAGTCCACGCTTCCCCGAACTTCCAAACATGTGTAACAGCTGCTTAGCAGATATCATCATGTGTGTGTAGTAGACACCTCAATACCAGCAGCTTCCAAATTGAACTCCATGTTGTCCCCCTCAGCCCCAAATGTACTTCTCGCAGCTTTGCTTTCTTGATTAATAATACAACCATCCCCGCAGGTTGCTGAGAAACCTGAAAATAATTCCTGAATCTTTTTTCCCAATCTTGCTCCTTTCAGTCAACTGATAACTGAGTTGTAAATCTGTTCTGCTTTCCTAACATGGCTCAAATTGATCTTTTCCTCTCCACTCCTTATATCAGGGCTTTTCTGTCTTTCTTTGTTTCTTGAGGTTACCATCATCAGCTTCCTAACTGCTCTCCCCCTCCCTCCAGCACTGACCCCTCCAGGACTCTTTTCATTTTGTTGACAAAGGAATGAAATTCCTAAGACACAAATTTCAAAATATCATTGCCCTGTTTATAAACCTATAATGTGTTGCTGCTGTTTTCAATATAAAAATCCAAATTCCCAATTTATCATATGAATCCCCCCCTTTTTAAAATCAGGCCTCTGTAAATAATTTAAATCTTTCTCATGACAATCCCTCTTTCAATCTACAAGTCAGTCATACTGAACTAATCCAAGTTCCTTGTTGCTTGAGTGAAATATTCTTTTTGTGCCATTGGATATGCTAGAATATTATGTTCCCTGCTCCCTTTACCCCATGGCCTTCACCTAATTCCTGTTTATCCTTCAATGTGAGACCAAAATTTCTCTAGGAAGTCTTCCCTGCCCCCTCACCCAATCAACCCAGGTGCTCCCGTGGCTCTTAGTCACACTTCTTTACATATCTGATTCCTCTACAGAACAGAAGATTCTTGAAGGGCAGCAACTGCATCTTGTTCATCTTTGTAAGTTTAGTGCCTGACTCTTAGCAGATGCTAATAATTGCCTTAGTTGAATCAATGAATAATTCAGGTGTGGAAGCCAATATCCAAAATGGCCTGCCATGATCCCTGCCTCCTGTTATTCACACTCCCGGGAAGTCGCCTCCCACTTTGCACCAGGGTTGGCAGCACCTGTTGTGATTAGATCTACAGAGAGGCCTATGTGGCCATGAACTTCATGAAGCCTCTAGCCAACTACCAGCAAAGCACTGAGGCTACATGAGTGAACTTGGAAGGGGATTGATCTCTAGCCTCAGTTGGGTCTTCAGAGACTGCAGCCCTGACCAAGCAGCTTGACTGCATGTGTATTAAGCTGTGAAAACCACCCAGCCTCAACCACCCAGCCAAGGATCAGACTTCTGATCCTTAGAAACTGTGAGATAATAAACATTTGTTTGTTTGTTTGAAGCTGCTATATTCTGGGGGCAATTTGTTACCCAGGACCAGATAATGAAGAATCTCAGCAAAATGAAGTATGTGCTTTACCATTTCCAGGGCACCTCTGATAATCCCACAGAGTAAATTGCAGTAGCACAGAGAAGATCGCCCAGGAGGGAGCTTTTCCACGAACTCCACCAGAGGGTTCTTGTCTAGAATCAGGGAAAATTCATTTCTGCTTGAATTGTTACAGGTCACACTGGGTGTAATTCCCAAATACATCTTGAAAGCAACCTAACAAAAAGGGGGGGAAAAATTACTAAAATTTGTCTAGAGCAAATGAGCGGGGCCCCCAAATCCCCTGTTGCAGGCAGTGCAGTACAGGGGTTAAGAACATGGACTATGTAGTTGTGAAGTCTGGGTTCATGCTTAGCTTTGAAATGTGCTGACCCTATGATTTGAGCAAGTCTTAAAACACTTTTATTTTTATGGAACATCTTAAGGGGCTAGTTTTCCATGGAAACAGTATGGCTTAAGAAACAGAGTTTAAGCATTATTTCCAAAAAATGTTTTTCAAAAATAAATATCTTTTAGGAGTGTGGGAAATTAAAATATTACTAATCAACAAAATGTTAGTATATTTGTCACACTGAGCCTAGTAAAAGATGAGATCTTGAATTAGAAGGGACCCAGGACACAATACAAATGCGATTGAGCATAGAATGCTATGAGAAGGTGAGACACAAGGATGTGTTCTGGGACGTGGAGAGAGTCATATCACTAAGGATGACAAGTCTCTGTGAAGGAGCAAGGGGTAAGTGGGAGGCACATAAATGAGTCATAAAGTAACTTCTTAAAAATGTCTCTTGGGGCCAGCCGAGTGGCGCGATGGTTAAGAACTGGCTTGGGACGCCAGAGGGCCCCGGTTCGGATCCCACATATGAGGGCCAGTGACACTGCCCTCTACAGCTAAGATGCTGAACAACAGCTCAACCTGGAGCTGGGCTGCCGTGAGTCGCCTGCGACGGCGTAGGCTGCATCCCCTGCGGCAGTGGGTTGCCATGGGCTACCGTATGTAGCCAGCAGCCAGCGTGAGCGGCCAGCAGCCAGCGTGAGCGGCCAGCAGCTGCAGTGAGCGGCCGTCCAGAAGCCGGCGACTGATCTGCCTTGCCCGGGAAGAGCGCAATGATGGTGCCAACTTGGGCCAGTGAAGCAACGTCCTCCACAACTAGACTGAAGAACAAAAACAACAGCAACTTGTCTGTTCCCCTTCCCCCAATTCCCCAGCACTGTTCCCATTCCCCCAATTCCCCAATAAAAAATCTTAAAAAAAAAAAAATGTCTCCTGCTTTACAGGACTTCAAAAATGTTACAATGTAGAAATGAAGGCAAGTAAACTAGATGCAGAGAAGTAAAAGGACATAGCCAAAGCTACCCCATAACAGTTTCTTGGCTCCTAGTTCAAGGAACTTTCTTTCCACAAAATGCACAGTCCTGGAATTGGAAGTTTATTAATGGAAATTTGTCAACATGATATGTTGTCACTTTTAAGTGCCTTAAGTCATTTAATTTTAAAATTAACACCACTGTAGGAGAGAAATGGAAACAATTTTCTTTTATTATTTCTAATTAGAAGCACTAAAATGATCTTCATTCATTCATTCATTCGTTACTTGGTGAGTACTGCCTGTCTAGCACAGTGCCTGACACACAGTGGGAGTTTAATAACTATTTGAAAAAAAAATTGTTGAGTGAGTGTCCATTCTGTGTTTGACACCATGTTTAAACCCAGAATGCAAAAGTTAATAAAATGTGGCTCCTGTTTTATAATAGCTCATAGTAAAAAAAATGCTACAGATATTAAACAAATAAGTGCAATGGTATGGTAAGTCCTGCAAGTACAATGTTGTGTATTAGGAAGCAATTCTGGAAATAATCGCAAGGGAAGAAACTTCTACCCTGTTCATGAATATTGAGTGAGATATTTTTTTCAGGGAAACAAATTGTGTGTGGGGGGCAGTGATGGTGATATTCTGAGTCAAGGGAGACTGTCATGGGCATGAAATCCCATGATAAGTTTCATGAGGCTGGCGTTTATCAGATTGTGGGCAGTGGGGACACCCACAGCCATGAGTAAGCTCAGGCAGAATTAAATTTCTGTTTTAGAGGAATCTTCTTCATGTCAGCATGGAGGATGGGTTTAGGGCTGAGGGTGGAGTGGGCATGAAGTCAAAGACAGAGATGCCAATCAAGAGGTTCCTATGACAACCTAGGAAAGAAATGATGAGGACTCATCTCATTTTGTCTTTTATTCAAAACACAAGTGCTCCCTAAATTTTTCCATATGAATGTCAAATAGCCCAAGTCCTAAAATTTGGCTCAAGTCTCTGACACTAGCCAGCTTGAAAGGGTGTCAAATGAATCTTCCAGATTTTAAGTCAAGTAACAAGAGAAAAAAAGTCATGAAACTCCAGGCTTGGAGACTGATTTGGCTTCCAACCAATTGGCTGAAATCCATTTCTGCTAATGTTGATTCCTCTGGCTGGAAAATTCCTAGACTATTATTTGTTTGAGTGAGAATTTCTTTCAACTTCTCAGTCCAAGCAGCACAGAAATAACATTAAAATGGAGGCTGTGCACTGTGAATTAACTCTAATTCTCAGTGTTTGGGCCCTAGTCTCATGGGCCAGTCCACACCAGTAGGAGGTATTATCTAAACAGGATTGGGAAATGGTCATTCCTAGGGAATGACATTGTTTCCTTATCTGCCTGAACAGTCTGAGGAGGACGGCTGCTTCTAATGAAGGAAAATCTCCACCCTTGGCCACAGCCACAGCTTCTCTGCCGATAATTAAGGGCAAAGCATTGTCCCTCTACATCTCCAACATGGATGCTTTTCAGGGGATTTTAAAATTCGTCCTTAACCAGAAAACTGTGATTGGCTACAGCTTCATGGCTCTGCTGACCCTGGGAAGTGAGCGTGTCTTTTCCCTCGTGGCGTTTAAGTGCCCCTGCAGCACTGAGAATGTGGTCTACGGGCTGGCTTTCTTTTTGGCTCCTGCCTGGGTGTTACTGATCCTGGGAATCGTTATGAACAACAGGTCATGGAGACTCTTCACAGGCTGCTGCGTGAATCCCAGAAAAATCTTCCCCAGAGGCCACAGTGGCCGCTTCTTCTATGTCCTTGGTCAGATCATTCTGAATTCACTGGTGGCTCCAGTGATGTGGCTGTCTGTGGCTTTGCTCAATGGGACTTTTTATGAATGTGCCATGAGTGGGACAAAAAATTCAAGACTCCTGGGACTGATTTGCAAGGGCAAGCCCAAAGAATGCTGGGAAGAACTTCACAAAGTATCATGTGGCAAAACCAGCATGACACCTGCAGACAATGAAGAACTGAAACTGTCCCTACAAGCCCAGTCTCAGGTAAAAAAGGACAAACTAGCCTTTTTTTCCCCAACTTGCAGTATTCTTTCTGTTCCCTTTTCAGCCAGGCTGAGTCTGAATTCTGCTAGGGCATCTTGATATGAAATGGATATTGGAGCTGGATGTAGTGTTAAGACAATCTCAGCAAAAGCTTTTTAGAGTTTGGATGCCTCAGTGAAATTGCTGATTGAATTGTCTTTTCTGAAAAGAAAATACCCTCTGGGTTATGCATATGTAAATGCTTAAGTGCTTTAAAACAATCTGTCTGGGTTGACTTTATAAATAATGCATAACACTAACTCATAATTGAGTGTTAAGGGCAAAGCTGTAATTAAAAATTACTGTCTTGTATCAATGATTTATTTTGAAGCTGATTTCTCCGAAAAAGAAACACACACGTAGCATTCATCTTTTAAAATATAGCTGAGCCAAATGAGCTAATACTTTGCAAAGTTGCATGTAATATAATTAATATAGAAATTCCCTTAAATGATTTTTGGCAACTGCTGTCTCTATGTATAAATATTGTCAGGATTGAAAAGTGTTTCCCATGTAAAGTAGGAATTGGCAGTCTTCAAATAGCCTTCAGTGAAAAGTGATCATATCCTCTAGGGAGGTTACGTCCTATGCTCTTTGTGCTGTACAGCTAAAGTTCTTATATTACTTTAGAAGCTCAGGATTTGGGGCATTGTTTTATTTAACAGAAGGAAATCATAGCTTTTCCTAACTGACGTAAGGAAGTAGCCTGTCACCCTTTCAGGTACATGAGCACAAATCCAGATGTGAAGTCTTGCCCTGGCCTCAGGAAAAGGCTGAATTCCTTCTTGAGAGTAGTAGGAATTGTATTCCCCAAACCAAAACAGGGAATTAGAGTCGATAAACATATCCACAATTGGTCAGAAATGCTATTTGTTTCAGGATAAATGCACTGAAAATAGTTTAATTTTACTTTTTCAACAAGGGCTTGTCTTTACAACAGCACGTCAAGGAAAAGTCTGTTTTTAAAAATCACTCTATATTCCAAAGTTGGTTGGCAGTATAGTCATATACTTTTCATAAACCGATAGGCCTAAAAATACCCCAAAGTCTTTGGTTTAATGCATAAAGCGCATCTCAGATAAATACATGCCAGGCTCCCAGATGTCTTCCTTCTTTTGTTGAAGCAAGGTATTAATTACATGTTCTGACACATGACTGCTTTTCGATGTATATCCCCAGGCACCAGGCTCCATTCATTTAGTGCCAGATCCAAACACTCATCACTATGTTAGCTTTTCTTCTTTAAACACAAACATGAGGAAATCGCGCCCACGCTGTCATAGCTTAGCCTAGGCAGGTTGACCTGTGTGCTTTTCAGCAGAGTGAGAAGGACCTGGGGCTGATTCCTAGGGGAGCATGCGTGAGGGACGTGGGCAAGAAGAGCTGCATCAACAGCAGGTGCTCACCATCATGGTCCAGGCAGGCTGGACAACAAACAGTCCAGGCTAATAGTTGGGTACGTGGGTGGGGGTGGAAAAAGTGTCCCATCCATGGGTGGGGCAGAGAAACAGGAAACCCAGCTGGGTGGCACTCTATTCTTAAGGAAGATAGAGTGTAGTAGTAGAAAGAACTCAGCCTTGGACTTGACTAGCCTTGGCTTTGAGTCCTGACTCTACCACTTGGCAGCTATGTGACCTAGAGCTAATGGTTTGAGCTCTCTGAGCCCCGATTTTCTCTAGTTGTGGGTAATAACACCTACCTCGGAGGGTTGCTGGAAGGTATAGAGGTGATGGACATAGATGGGCATAAAGCTGCTGGTGCACAGTAAGTGTTCTAAATTGATGAGGAAACCGCCAGGGTTTGAGGGAAGAGACTCGTGCAGGATGGGACACTATTGAGGGCTGAGGCAGGAGCATCCACCGTGTCTAGTTACATTGTGGGTGCTATGAACTGGGGAAGAACAAAAGAGGGCTCAGTGCTCAGTACTCAGGTGAGAGCAAGGTGATACTAAGGTCATGCAATGGGGGGAGGGGGAGTCTGAAGCTGATCAAATAGCATAGACCTCAAGCAGAATTGGCTCAGATAAAAGTGAGGTGGCCTAGTGGCCCACAGGAGGCCTGGCTGTGGGGAATGAGGAAGGTAGAGAAGGAAGAAAAAAGGAAGTTCTGAGGCAGCCAACCACAAATGATTTAAGGTAAATGTGAGGACTTTCACACGATGGTAGCTGTGCCTCATTCATTGAAAGACACCATGAGTTCAATGATGCTTTCACATACACGTACGCACGTTTGAAAAACAGCTGCATGTGATAATAACTTACACTTGCTGAATGCATGTGTATGTCTACATAATCTCATTTTAATGCCCCAAATCACCCTCTGAGCTAGGTAACCCCCATTTTACAATTGAGGAAACTGAGGCACAGAGCATACCCATAGTAAGGAGAAGGTTCAGATTTACACCCAACTAGTGCCAATCCAAAGTTGACATTCAGGTGGCATCCGAGACCTTCACACTGACTCTTGCTCTGGTCTGAGCCAGAGTGTGGGAACCACTGGCTTAAAGCATTGGAGCTAATTTGTGGTTCTGTTACTGTCTTAATGGGTCTGTTTGCAGGATTATTTTTTGTTTCCATTTTCAAACAGTCCCATTTGCTGAGACACACTACGTGTCATTTCACTGAAATATCAAGAGAAACTTTGAAAAGAAATCTGTTAGTTGTCCAAATATGAAATTAATTCCAATTGCGAAAACTATAATTAGAAAAACAAAAGGAAGTTTACAGGATAAGTTACTCAGACTTATGTTTTTAATATTCTGAGGAAAAAAACCCACAACTGAACCAGTGCTTACCCAGAAAAAAATTTGTTTTTTCTGATTATTAAGATTTAGAACCAATAGTCCTGAAGGTTTGAAATGACTGCAATTTTTTCTTGGCTTTTATGCAGGCTTTCAATTCTTATAGCTTCAGTTTCCTTACTATATTATGTCTGTCTCACTTTATCATGGATAGTGAGTAATATTTCTCTTAGAGAGGGCTGCTGTCCCTACGAGCAAGAGAATGTGGGGAAAAAATCAGTCACTAGCCACGTGTCGGGGTCCTGCCTCGGCGTTCCAGTGAACAGTACCTGAAGTGGGGGGCGAGGTTTAAGGAAAAAAAGAGACAAAGAGACAAAGAGGGTCCAGGAGGACTGGAAGCATTCTTAGCAACCAGCCCTGAGTTTATTTTTCCTCCCCATTATATACCTTCAGAGTACATGCAACACAGAAGGGATGAATATGCATAACCTCATTAAAAGTACATCATTAGTTACCAACTAGAAACCTGAAGGTCAGTGGAAAATTTAGAGGGTCAGTTTCCCAGGAAACTATCTTCCACAAACCCAGACAGCCCTCTATCTTATTGCGTCTTCTAAGGAACTGGCCTTCTCACCACATACCTCAAGGTTAAGTAAGCATCCTCCAGGTGCAGAAAGGAGCAAGAAACAAAACAAGTTATACTACAGTAAAGCCAGCCTGCATGGCTCCCAACAGCCACGTATGCGCATTTATCAATGCCTGAAAACACACCTGGCTAAGGAGTTGGTCATTTGCTCAAATGATCGCATGTACCCATGCACAGAATTCTTTTCTCTAATAGCTAATACTATTTGAGGTTTGGGGTTATCTGATTCTTGGATGGTCTATACTTTTTGATTTTTTTTCTAATTTGCTTACCTTCTGGTTGCATACCAGCAATGATGGTAGAATGGAGAATCATTAGGTAAACTCTAACTTTATTTCGACTGTTAAAAAAGTGTTGTTAAAAAATTAAGATGAAGAATTTCAAGTGAAATATGGCAATGACTATGGTAGTAATTTAGCCATACACTTCCCAATAATATCACTTCAGCCCCGAGAAGTGGCTTTGCTTTGACATGTCCTCAGTATTTCTTTCTTTCTAAGATTCTAGGATGGTGCCTGATTTGTTCAGCGTCTTTTTTCTCTCTGCTCACCATGTGTTATGCTCGCTGCCGATCTAAAGTTAGCTATCTTCAGCTGAATTTTTGGAAGATGTATACACAAAAGGAGAAGGAGCTGTTGGAAAATACATTTCTGGACTATGCCAACAAGCTGAGTGAGAGAAATCTGAAATGCTTTTTTGAAAACAAGAGGCCAGATGTCTTCCCCATGCCTACTTTTGCTGCCTGGGAGGCTGCTTCAGAGCTGCATTCTTTCAACCAAAGCCAGCAACACTACAGCACCCTCCATAGGGTGGTGGAGGATGGTCTGGAACTTAGCCCTGAGGATGAAGAGACCACAATGGTCCTCATGGATACTGCCCACAATGTGTAACTCATCGGCCATCACTGACTCACGGTGTCCAGGGATACACTCATTCTGACATCTTCCTACTGAATCAACAGCAACCTGGGTATCTCTGTGTTTACTCACATTTGGTGCTTTTTTATAAGACAATAACACAAAGGGAAGCAGCTTTGCAGCATCCAGGTGCAGACAGTATCAGGATGTGCTCAAACTGATGCCGAGTAACTGATGAAGGATGGCGACAAAAGTGCTCTTGCATTGGTTGGGGGTTGAGCTCAGTGTCTTCAAGTTCTAAAATTTTATGATTCAACAGCAAGACTCGTGCAAGAAGGTCTGCCACTCTATGTACATATTGGTCATGGCATCTGGGGGCAGACGTGGTGACTTGGGAGTGAGCTAGTAACTTAATAGTCTGCTCTGTACACAGTGGGATCTGCAGTGTAGTCAGCAGAAAACCTTGTCCTGTAAATCGATCCTACTGCCTTTCAAGGATGTCTGAAATTCTACCATCTGAAATTCATTTCCTCAGAATCTAAAGACATCAGTTCTCAAAAATAATACATTGGAAGGAAATAATGCCTAAAATTCAGAGTCTTTCACATGTTTTTAATTTTCAATGAACGTATGCCCTGCAGGCAGGCCCATATTATGACTTTTGTGGGCTCTAGGCACTTTTGCCTTCTTGGACCCCTTTCTACATTAAAAAATACACACATACACACATATATATCCATGACTATTAACATGAAGATGATGTATTAATATTATGTATTAAAACATATTTTGCAACCCCAAAGTTCATTTATTTTCTTCTGATTTTAAAAGAAATTCACAACACTGATGTGGCCTCTGCAAGTATCATGGGCCTTAGGGACAGTGCCTAATGTGCTGATGGGTGAGTCAGCCCTGACTGGTAGTCTGGGAAACTGTCCAAGGCAGTGCTAGGGTAAAGCTGTTTTGCAGTTCTATTCTTATTAGAAATAATGCAAATTTTGTTCTACTATGTAATATGTCCACATTAGTTGAAATATACATATGATATATGATATGTATGTATGTGTGTATATATGTATACATATGTAAATTCCCCTTAACTCTCTGTCTTCTTGATGATGTTATCTGAATACATAAGAATGCTATTATTGCTTTATGCATATCAATTTTATACCTCTCTACTGAGTCTTATTTTATTCTTTGTAGAGCTTTTCAGAATTAGGAAACACCATTTTGTAACCCCTAATAACGTAATGGATCTCGACAATAAATAATGAATTCTAAACTACTAGGTGAAACCAGATGAGGTGAGGACTATGCAACTTGAAACCACTCATCTAAACATCCCTAAAAAGGGGATGACTGGATATTATGTGCCTCCCAATGTGATGCAAAGCAAGAGTAAGTACACAGGACCACTTGTGAAATATTGTTTTCAAAAAAATTAAATCTGAATCTAATCTAGTATTTAGATTTTACTAGTTTACAGGAAATATGGGCAAGAGAAAACTAGTGGATTAGCAACATGAGGAAGGAACCAATTAAATCTAGAATATACTACATTCTATTTGACATATGACATATGACGTCTGACATATGAATATACTACATTGTAGTTTTCCACAATGGCATAAAAAAAAAATAAAAGAGACACGAGAAACATAACAACTAGAAGCAAGCAGCCTATGCAACTTATTGGCATCCTGTTTCAAACAATGAACTGTATGTAACAAGACAACTTTGAAGTATTTAAAAGAATATGAATGAGTATTAAATGGGTAGTAGATGATTTTAGGGAATTATTCTTTTTGTTATATATGATAGTATCATGATGGTCTATGTTTTTTAAAAAGTATTAATCGGTTACAGATGCATACTGAAATATTTATATGTGAATTACCATAGTGTCTATTACAGAATTACCTTTAAAATAATTTCAGCACCAAAATGGGGAGCTGAAAGATGAAACAAAAGTGGACAAATATTGATGCTTATTGAATCTGAATAGTGGGTACATGGGACTTATTACATATTCTCTTTACATTTGCATATGTTTGAAAAATGTTATAATAGTTATGGAATAAAACAAATTACATACTTGCCTTGGTTGTTTTGCTGAAGTTTTGTCAATCAACTCCTACTTGCCTGGAGATTACCTTTTAGTATCATTCTCAGTAAAGGTTCTCTGGAATACAATTCCCTTAATTCTTACATATTCAAATTGTTGGCCTATTCTATACTTGAAGGGCAGCTTAGCTGTTTCATAATTTCTCTACTTGAGCACATTTTTAGTGTTACTCCATTGTCTTTTGTCACTGAATGTTACTAAGGGAAAATCCAATGCCCTCCTGATTTATTACTAACATGATGGTTTTTTTTTTTGTGGAGGGCAGTGTCACTGGCCCTCACATGTGGGATCCGAACCGGGGCCCTCTGGCATCCCAAGCCAGTTCTTAACCATCGCGCCACTTGGCCGACCCACTAACATGATGTTTTTGTCTATATTCTCACAGCATTCTTTATCTTTAAACCGAAAACATTTTCTTTTGTTTCAAGAACATGGAGTTTGTGAATCACCCCACCACCACCCACCACCTTTTTTGTTGCTCTATATGATTTTTAAGAAACCTTATGGTTTTGAATTTAGAACTAAACCACTGCTATGTTCCTATTTGAATGTCATTAATTTAATAATAATTTTTAAACACTCAGTTAATTTTGTGGTAATTCTTGATTCACCTCTTCCTACCCTTTCTTTCCCTTTTGCCCTCCCACACAACCAGAACAGAAGCAATAGACTTTGACATTTGCAGCCTCTCGCCTACGAGGTAAATAGCAAGGAGTAGTGGATCTGTATATGCACCCCTTACGTGGCAGCTGCAAACATGAAGATTGTTCCCCTTTATGTAGTCGCTGCTTTGATTGTTATCACATATTTAATCCAATACCATCGTTGCTCAAAGTTCCCGATGGAGCCTAGACTGCCCTGAGGAGCTGACACAAGGAAGGATCTGGCTCCAGATCTAATCATTTCTAGCAGTGACGTCTGACTAAGCCTTAATGAAGCCTAGAATGTGTACTGAGACACAGTGAGGTTTTAGGAGACCTAAAAGAGCAAGCTGAGCTGCTGAGGCTGGAGCTGGAGCATGGAGGGGGACCCCAGAGGAGCCTACATTACTGGCAGACAAGGCAAGTGCCAGTGGCTTTGGAGTTTTGGGGGTTTGTTTTTTTTGAGGAGGAGGATTTTGATCAAAGAGAATTAGATTAGTTTAATCCTTTTAGGGGGTTAGGACATAGTTATAACAAACATAAAATGTTATATTTGAGAGTCTGGAAGGAAATCTGCTTTTAGGCAGCTTCAAATAATATTTTCAATGTTCATTTTAAAATTGAGTTATACAGAAAGAACTGTTGTCTAGCTATAAGAGAGATCATATTCTAAATTTTGCTCTTCCACTAAGGAGGAGAGGCAGAAATGTTTATGACAACCTACTGTGTGCTGGATACTTTACATATTTATATTTAAAATTCACAAGTATACTGAAAAGGAGGCATTACTGTTTCTATTTTTATGAATAGTGCTAAAGTTCAAAAAGATTAAGGTTAAGCCACAGGTAAGAGATGGAGCCTAAATTTGGACTTGAATTTTTATGAGTCTTAACTTCCACCACATAAAATGCTGCATCATGTTAGTGTAGCCTCCGATACTCATTGAGCCATCAAAAGCGTGTTTCCTCATTTTTAAAAATCAGAATGTTAGATTGGTACATCTCAGAGTTTCTTTCAACTCTGTTGTCCCAAATCTTACGGTCAGTAGCACATAAGTTACCAGTGTACTTCTTGGTGTACTCCTGGGAATGAATGTCAAGCTCCAACACTCACAGACCCTGTATATGAAGTTAAGCAGTTATAGAAATACACCGTTACAAAATCTAGTGTCTGATCAATATCCATCTTCTTTGGAGCGAATGTCTTGGAAGACACAACTTCTCTCCCTACATCCCGCCCCAGGAATAAGCTAGTCATCCCAACCAGTGGTGCCTGGTAGGGTGGGCTTTGTTTCAATCAAGACTCCTTTATTCTATCTCTTTAGTGTTTTCCACTTTTTTTTCCAATGACATTTTACCTTACTTGAAATACTTAAAGGAGATAAAATGAGAGGCAACTCTGGGAAAATCTGGACTGAGGGTCTGGAGGAGTGGCGGCCCTCACCTGCCATCTTGTTTCTACACCAATCACTCTAGAGTGCCAAAGAACACAGTTTTCGAAACCCTTGTGCTAAAACACTGGCTGCCCATTAAGATCACTTGGAGCATGTAAAAAGTTCTTATATTGAGACTTATTTCCAGAGACCATTATTTAATTGGTTAAAAGTATGATCTTGGCATCAAGATTTTTGTAGGAAAGCTCTAGGTGATTCTATGGAGCAATAAGAATTAATAACCATTACCCTGGAGAAATTGCTGAGGAGTCAGGGCAAGTCTGGACAAAATCTTACTTCTGACATGAACTAAGAATGACACCAAGCAGGAATGGCCCAGAGTTTAGATGGCCTTTCTGGTGTTTCTTTGAATCCTTAGGCTCAGATAGTTCTTGCTTTATTTAGCTTTTGGGATTTTGTTTACCAGAGTATTTCCTCAATAGTTTTCAGCTCCCTGTAAGGAATTTTATTGTAAAAAATTACATTAATGAAATACTCCCAAAGCTATTGATATTTTAAATCTGTGAATAAAAAAGGGCTGTATAGTAAGCCTGACAAGCTCAGGGGGTCCACATGGCAGGCCTCATAAGCTCAGTGATGATAGGATGGTTTGATTATAAATACCCAACTGGACAGGCCATGGTGGGTAGTCACATCCCAAGCCTATTGCTTCCTTAGCAAAGGTAAACCTTTAGCTTAAGTAGGCTCTATCCATCATCCTTATGCATCTTGATAACATCCCTTTGACATGTCAGAGTAATGTTCTTTTCCTACCCCTTGAAAACACAACTGCAGGCACCAGAGCACAATACCAGAGCGTAAGACCACAGAACCCTTCACTGTTCTCTTGTTCCCCTGAACACCATCTCTATGTGCTGTAAAGGTTAATTAACTATCCTGTACCCACAATGTAAAAGAAGGATGTGTTTCTCCATTTTCCTTTTTTATCCAGTCCTAGAGATTTTCCCACTTTGCTTTCTCCCACCTCTTTAATCTACCACTAACGGATTTCATGTGCCTTCCATAAATCTTCTCCTTTGAGTCTAATGTATAAAATAAGCTGCAAACCTTGCCATTCTCTGAAGCATGTTCTCAATCCGTTGAGATCTTGTTGCCAGGCATGTCCTCAAAATTTGGCTCAAATGAACTCTTATAAGACTTCCCTATAGGCTGGACATTCTTTTTTTTTTGACAAATCCAGACACTTAGATTTGTTTTGTAAGTCAGTCTCTCATAAGTTTCATCCAAATAAGTTAAGCAATAGAAACAAAACCAAGAATCTCCAATGGAAAATTAGTGTAGACTAACTTTTTAAAAAATTTTCTTTATCCACCTCTTTAAAAAAAACCTGAGATAACATTGGTTAAGAGCACTACATAAGTTTTAAAAAAAATTGAGATAACATTGGTTAAGAGCACTACGTAAATTTTCGACCAGATTTTCACACACTCAGATATCTGGAGCATTGAAAACTTTCCCCTGGAACATCTTTGGTAAGAGCACCAAGAAGACCTCGTTAACGCCAGATTTCCTGTAAGTCCTGATCATAAACAGAAGTGAAAGGTGAACATTCAAAAGTAAGGGAAGATGACTTGTAGAATTAACTGGGACTTGAACCTTAAGAGATACTTCTCTGTGGTGAGGAAAAATAATGTTACACAAATGTAGTCACAGTAAAAGTTTGAGGTTAATTTTCCGGCAGGTGACTGGCCTTCATAGTGGAACTCTGCCATAAGTAATTGATTTGATCTGTTGGGTTAGAGACCCAATCAGTCTGCAAAATACATAGACCTTGTGCTATGCATACACGCTTTTCCAGAAAAGAAAACTTCCTACACTTTTCTTCTTTCACCCCACTCAGAAGTACTAAGGGAAATAGTTCAAGTGTGTGGGTGTTTGTATAAGGCAGTTCTTGCCTACTCAGAGGGGAGAATTAAGGCTAAGTGGTTATGTTTGTTTAAACAAGTTTCTTATTCTTAATAATTTGTCTGCCATATTTCTGGCCCAAATGGTGAGTTCTCAGAATATTTTATGAATTGCTTTTGCTGTTAATAGTTGTCATTTTTTACATATTGAATATAACTGTAAAAGATTTTTCTTTCCATTTAATTTTTCCACTCCCTTATTCCCTGCTTAAAAAAAAAATGCTACTAAGTAGGAAACGGGCCTGACCTTCAGCTAGCTGTGATGCCAGCCTTCTCTGGAATGCTGTGTGGTGTGCTGTGGCTTCCACGGAATTCAATCTCTACTTATCAAGGGCTCCCACTTATTTTAATACCATATGTTGGGAAAAGTGAAAAAATAATCAGTAAGCTCCTACCATTAAATCGAAAATAGTAATTAATAGCAAAGAAAAATGTTCTATTTTAGTCTTAACCTGATTAGCTTCCATTGTTCAGTTGAAGGATTAAAGGAAGCAGTTATTCCAGGAAGGTGTTGAGCATCAAGCATGTACAGCGCTCCTGCCTCCTCTGTGCTGAGAACTGCTCTCTGTGACCTGGTCACCAGTTGCCACTCTGTTGGTTGTCAACCTGCATTTAAAGGTCTGATCTGGATTAATGGCTGAGCCTTGCACTCGGCTTCTCCTCACCTTTTCAGCTCCTTGCAGGACTTACATGGTAAGGAATATCTGGCTCCCAAATGCAACCTGAGGACTCTACCATTTTAGTACCTCAGGTTCCCACTTCAATCTTTTGAGTGGGGGTGGGAGGCACATACAATAATGGCTAAATTCTCAAGCATCTGTTTACAAAGTATTCTCCTATACAACAGTGGCAAGATACCTAAACGTTTTAGGATTGGGGGATCTCTGTAACTAGCAGAGTCACAACTGCTGGCTGTCTAATGTAGGTGAAGTAAGTGGTAGCCACCTTGTACCCCTCCCCACTTCTCACC